AGTCATTTAACTGTGAAAGGAAGATACCATATTGTACCAGGCTAGATTTCTTTTGAGTTAACCAGGGACAAATGAAGACTGGAATTCACTCTTTCTTTGAAAATGAAATGTAAATCTGAGATACAAGTGATCTAGTTTTCTTTGCTTTTGGTTCGACTGTGCGCTGACAGTCCTATATATAAAATACTCTCTGTGGAGTTACTGACCTGCTATGCATGCCGTCGTGTCATGTCTGTAATTGCTTTGAGTCAGGCCATAATAAAAAGCTTGCAGTGCAATCACAAACTAAACATTTTGTTAGAAGAATGGATTTACCACGTAGATTCTTATTTTCTCCGGAAGGGGAGAAGTGCAAACACTTATCACTGGAAATTCAGATCCTCTCATTTGGCCTCGCTTTTAATGCTTTCCCTTATCGCTGAGCCTGCCCTATATTTTTTTAACCTGTGTGGTTAAACTGTGGTCAGACACTGCATTTTTAGTTTCACTCTTCTGTGTTCTGACATTCAAGAGCTTTTTTAACTAACTTGCTATAAGAAGTTGTTCTCCCCCAGCCTCCTGCCCAGAAAGCCTTTGACTTCACTCTCGCCGTGGAGCAAACACAGTGTTCTTTCCTTTCTGACCTACATTTTCACAGTGGAGCATTGCATAGCTGGCGGTGCAGCTTCCCTGCTTCCCTCCTTCCCCCCGTACTCCCCAGCAAATGCCAAGTCTATTAGGTGTGATCTGCAAACTGAAATTTTTGTGGTCAGTCAGGGCGAGACTGCTTGCTGTTTTAGGAGAACAATCTGAAATGAAGATTATGCTCACAAAACTTGATAGGTGCAGTTATCAGAGAGTAATTAAGTAATTGTCCAATATTTTTTTGTGTTATTTGACAGCATAAAATAGAGATTGAGAAATGGGGTTTAAAATTGCAAAAAAATGTGTAAACAACTACTGATGCTTTTGCAAATCAGTTACAAGCCTGTTCTTGCTAATAGCACAAATGTAAGCAGTAGTAGCTTCAATATTAGCATCTTCCCTCTCCCTTTCATCTCCTCCTAGAAAGTTTTCACACATTGCAATGAGCATTCAAGAGGTAAGATTTTCTTGCACTGTGGGATTATGTAGGTATTTTAGATTGAAGTATGATTGTGGGTTGTGTTAACGTATCATGAAAATTAGAGGGGAAGGGGGGGGCACTCTAAAGTAATGGCTTCTATATGCTTCCCTCCTCTCTAGTGCCTGATTTAGCATGGATTTTGAGGCAGTTAATGCATGTCTTAACATGATAATATATTCTGAAAATATTTTATAAGTATGGACTGACACATTTTATATTACTGCCTTGCAAAGGAAAACAAATTTTAAATTATTATTCTAGTAAGGTTAACCTGAAAGCCAGTGTCTCATCTCTTCTAGATCACTGCCATCCTATAATTTTAAATTTATAGGACATAAAAATAATTTATAATGTGTAAGTGAAGATCTTAATGGACACTGAATTTTTCCTCAAACCAACCACTGCGGCTTGGAAGTACCTTTACCTGGAATTTTTTTGAGACTAGAACAGATTGCGAACTTTACCCATGAAAAATCTGTCAATGGCTGGGATAGGATCAATTTCATTATACCAAAACCTGTAGCTGTGCATTTTCCATGCTCAAATCTATTGATGTGTGATCTGCAAACAACCCACATCGATGATTTAATTAAAGATGTGAAAGGAACAGTTCTGTTGACGAATAACAAATTTTTTGTGGGACTTCATTTTGGTCATCTAGTATCAATGCGTAAATCTTTTATTTAGCTGAAAGCTAAATAAATAGGGAAAATTTATGGAATTCCAATTTCTAATTTTTGTTACCATGCTTCACTCTTCTAAGATTTTTTTTCTTTGCCATTGTGATGGTACTGATGACATTGCATTTTTTCCTATAAGTTTTGAGTCACTTGACTTTTTGTATTTGTTTTCAACCTGAAACAGACACACAGAGAAGTAAACGCATTTAAAGCAAATATTATACAAACTTCTATACCTCAATGACTAAACTAGTTAAATCCTTTTTTTACTGCATTGCAGACGTTAGACTTTTAGATACAAGCTTGTATCTTATTGCTAATGAATTTTTTTTTGTCTTGCTTTATGGGGAAAGGAAGTGAGAGAATTTGTTGAAGATTTTAATGATATAAATAATTATTGCACTATTTTTAACATGAACTGTTTTTATATTCTAGTAAAGTGAGCAAGTAGTTTAAACACAAGCTAGAAAACAGTAAAAACATTCAGAGGATGGAATGTAGATCTTTCATTCCACAATTGCATATTTCATCATACAAGCTGTCCCTCCTATTTCTGAAAGCTTTGTAATGAACTGTGCAAGAAAACAGTACTTGGATACAAACAATATAAGTAGCTTTTGGCTGTCTTCATAACGATTCAAATATATTTATAGAGTAGTTTCAACTTATACCCAAACATTAATACAAATTTTTAGAAATTATGTTGGACCCTTAAAAGGGCATTAAAAATGGCTTTTTATTTAGCTTCTTATACTTGTCACTAGTATCTTAACTAGCAAGAAGTTTGATGTACTGACCTCGTAGGCATTGTACTGTAATTCTGCCAAGCTTGGGCAGATCGGCGTCATGCATGAGCTCCAAAGTGAAGTACCCGAGAGGTTGTTTGGCTGCCAAACTTTACGATTCAAGTGCCAAACTATTTAAGGTTTAGTTATTAATCTCTTGGACTATACCCACAAGCCAGTAACAGCATTTTGCACTAGCCAGAGTTGGTAAAATCTGAATATATGACAGTCCAGCTTGAAAGTGCTGAAGGCAGGGAACAGCGTTGAAGTCCTCTCCAAGAGGATGGACTGTGTTCTTGGCCAGTTTTGCTCTGGGACAGGCCACTTATGGGATTGTACATCTTCCAGAACCGAATATCCTTGAGTAGTAGCTGGCTTTCAACACTCACTCTTGTTGTCTAAAACTTGAACTGTTGTGTAAAGCTTGCATGTAGTTAACTTAAGCCAGGTGGATTTCAGCTGGAGTATTTATTAACTGTGGCCTGCATTACCTGGAAGGAAGCAGGCAGATTGAGTGTGAAGAAAACTACAAATGGGTGTTGAAAGAACACTCACAAAGACTTTTTCAAATGCAGCTGGAATCTCTGTTACATGAATGCCAATAGTCACCACCAAAACTAAGTGGATGCACTTTCAATCTAGTTGGAGAACTTTCTTCTGCAGAGAGTTTTTACACACATTTACTTTCCCCAGAAACAGTCATTTCTATGACTTGAGGTATTTTGGAAATACACAAATGTATAATTATCATACCTGAAATACAGCAGATCACAAAATTTAGTGGAGGATCGCCCAAAAAATGATGAGTAGCAAATTCGCATACCCATCTTTAATAAGAGTTCCTAGAATTTCTGAAGAGGGCTAGTCCAGTGCAATAGATTCTGCTCATGTGTCTAAGTTCCTGTATACAGACAGCCTTAGGGCTGCTGAGAGTACTCACTAAGATGACTTGTGTTTTCATCACAAATTAAAAAACCTGCTGTGTTTTCTGTATTGTGCATAGTATGAAAACTAGGCTTTTGTATGAAAACAGTATGAGAACTAGGGAACACTAGAAAAGTCAGGTAGTGCTAAAGCTAGAAACTTACTTCTTCCTGAGCAGCTTTTCCATAGAAAGTGAAGTCCGAGGACCATAAATATAATAAATTTTATTAAATAATAAAAGTACATCAAATATTTGTATCTTATCCAATTAAAAAGTCCCAGTCAAACAGAAAACTAATCTCAGTTACATCATTTGCTGCTAAATCAGAGGTGGGTATTGCTTACCCTGGCACTGTGACAAACAGTAATAACCTGAATCTGATAAAACTCTGCTGTAACTCTGTTGGAAAATAAGCTTTAAAAGTTCTGTTCTTAGAAAACTGGAAACCTGTAAATAGATTTAACCTACTTCTCACAATTTATTTTCAGTGGTACATGTTGTGGCTTTAACTTTTAAAATTGCTTAGATTTTGTTTTCGCCCATATTGCTATTTGGAACTCTCAATCTTGTTATGACCTAGTCTTCCCCACCTATGAAGTAAGCTGAGTGGCTTAATTTTCTCTAGCAGACCTGTTTTTCTCCAGACTGATCCTTTATTTTTGGTAGGCAGAAAAGACTTGGTTGGTTTTCTCCCTCTTTCCATCAAACAAGACATTTTTGAGATTACGATGCAAGACTTGAAGTTCCATTTTTGCATTTTTGATCAGCCTGAGAGCTGCCTTGAAGTTATGTAAGGAAATTAATAGCCGATTCAATGAATTTGCATGAAGATGCCAAGATGAATGTTACTTGGCACCAGATTTGAGGAGGTCCCCCTATGACTTCTGAGAATTAAGTAACTTTTAGTCAACTCTTTGAGGAGAATCTAGTTGAATCTGCGGTTGAGTCTAGAATGCCGCTTGCATTGCCAAAGGTGATGTACAGAGTGGCAGTTTTCTGGATTATGATTTCATTTATCCCTCTTTCCTAACCAAAATAAGCAACCTTCCCAAAACTGGACCGACTTCAAGGGAGTACTTTCTCAGTGGTTTAGAGTTAATTGGTAATCGTAAATGTGGCATTGCTAAATGTATTGTACATTAAAGAAGTGTATAATTATTTCATTGTGGTGTTTGAAGGTAAAACTAATCTGCTCTTCGTGCATTTCCTTAGTTTTTCATTTTATAGCAATTCTAGATAACAACAAATCATTACATTGAAGAGAGCTAGAGCTATGAATGCATTTTTAAAATAAAGTTTTAGTGTGGAAAATATGCTCAATTATATTTTATTGGCACATAAATCAGCAATTGTACCACCAAAGTGTGCATGCTTATTATTGCACATTAACACAAAAAATCCTTATATACTGTCTTTTTTTTTCTCAAATTTGCTGGGAAAACCTTTTGGTTATAGGTTCATCATATTAGTGTTATCAAGAACTATACTTTTTTAACTTAAAAAAATAATTTTCAGACTCCACTATGTGATGGGGATCAACTAAAGGCTGTCCCATTAAGCTCATCCATTTTCACTGTACATGCTTTCAGCAGTATTTACAAATTGCACATGGAGTACATGGGACGGAGGGAGTGTTGTCCTTCTAGTGCAGTTTACGATGGCGATACCTGCCTGCTTTTTCTTTCGCTGCATTGGCACAGGCATTGTGCTTATTTTGTTGTAAGTGGTTCCAGTATTTGATCAGTTCACTAGGTTGGAACTGATGGGAGGTAATTAGGTGGCTATATTTACAGCTGGAGTAAGAAACTCGCCAGTGATTGAAGACAAACTCATTGGGTGGAGGCATAGGGTCAATTCGCAGCTTGGCAAGACAGATCCCCACATATACATCCTCTAAATGTAAACGTCTGATGCTTAAGGAGACTTTGAAGATTTTTTCTGCTAAGTCTCCAGAAAAAACATAACCAGTTCCAGAGCAGAATACAGGATAACGTTCACTCGGATACAAATCAGGTGGCATATACCACTTGCTATCCTTGTTCCTATTCGGTGCATAACCTCTCATTAAATAACCTGTAAAATATTTGTGCCTTGGAGGAAGTTCTGGTTTCAGAAGCTTGTGTATTAAATATTCAGTATTGACAAACATATCACTGTCAGTTTTCATAACATATGGAACATGTGGACAGTAAGATGCAACCCAGTTCATTCCCATCAGAGTTTTAATGGTCAAATTATAGTAGGTGTCTAAATATTCTTGTTGAATGATGTCATGGTACTGTCTGCTTTCCTGTAGTATGGTGCGCTGGAGGTGTCCATTTATCTTGATGCTTAACCCCAGCAAAAAAATTCGAACAATTTGGATGCCAGGTGTCAAGCTTTCATTCCCCCAAGTTTGTCGAATAGCTTGCCTGGCTTCCACCTGGCCTGGCTCTGCAGCTATGAGCAGTATTAGAAAAGGGGCCTTCTCCTGGCACTTCTCAGGCTCGTTGATGACGTATTTGAAATGATACAAAGTTGGATGCCCAGTACCTTTCTCGTTGTAAATACTTCCATTGGCACTGAGGGTATTTTCCAAACCAGTTACTCCTTGCGGTGACAGATCCGTGTTGTTGGAGTTGGTGACTGTTTGAGGCCTGAGCGTCTGAGGTACGGCGTCTTTCCACACATTCCTTAGAGAGCTGTGGTTCGTCTCGCTTTTTGTAGATCTAAATCCTCGTATAGTGTAAGCCATGGGATTTTCTTTGAATCCAGCCCTGCCTGGCAGCCAGTCGTGATGATTAAAGAACAGAAACATAGCAAAAAGAAATACGAGAGAGATCAGGCCAATGAGATGGGTGCGGAACAGAGACCTCTTGGTATTCCAGGTCATCTTTGCAAAGCAGCAGTGTCGTCTTCTCCACTGAAGCATGTTGTAAGAATCCAATGACGGGATATGAGACAATGGCCAAGCAAAATGCTTTTCCGATCGTTTTTGAATCCACTGCTATTCTTTGGTATTCATTTTCTTTTGTTCATATTGAGTAATTGTCTGCAAATGGCTCACTCTGCAAAGATTTTAAAGAAAGAAAACGAGAAATCTTTAATTTTACACACTTGTAATACAAAAGGTTACAAGAGAACCTAGATATAAACATAAAATTGAGTTCCTTTTTTTTAAAAAAAAAAGCACATGTTAATATAAACAAGGTTTGATTTACGCTAAAAGCCAACCTTGTTTTGTGATTAAAAGTGACTTGATTTGTTAGCTTTTAGAAATGCTTTTTTTTTTTCCCCTTGGTAAAAGTTTTAACAAACATCCTGGGTACCAAAGATAAAAAGAGAAAAAAAAAAAAAGACATTGATCACATTAGTAGAAAAAGTGTGAAGTAGCCCTAAATAGCTTCATGTATACTAACTGTGAAATCCTTCTACAGTGTTTGAGAAGGACTGAATGAAAAGGCCTTGATACCAGATGGAAGGTTTATTGGCATTAATTAAAATTGATTTGACATGCAGAGGCTAGTACAGCTCACAGTTTAAAAACCCTTTTTGTAAAATGGTCATGTATTGGTGGTGGGACAGACGGCGCAAGGTTGATTATGGCAGAGTTGTGTTAGTCACAGTACACTGCTTGGCGTGTGTCCACCGGCCCCGGCTGTGTTCCGAAAAGTCAATGAGAAGATGCACCTGTCAAAATTAATTTTCAGGGTTCAGTAACCTCACTGCACAGCCCTCAGATGGTAACGCGGGGTAACGTTTTCAGTCACCTTTCAGGCACCTTTAACCTTCTACTCCACGCTGAAGGAAAATATTGAATGGAACACTTGGCCGTTGTGCCAGGCTCATACGCAGCTGATGTAAAATTAAGCTGTTGATTTTTTAGGAGGTAGAGATCTTAGGTAAACTTCTGTATTAACTGGAAGTAAAATTGCACAGCACTAAATTTCTGGCAAACTATCTGATGGACGTGATTTTGGGTTTTTTTTCTCAATAAATTTATATATAGCTACTATACTGCTGGTATCATGCAGAAATTTCAGGTATTGTTACCAGCAGCTGTAACTGCAGGAAAAAGTGCCAAAGTAGCCTGTGCTTCATTTTCTCTTAAATTTTTTTCATATTCAAGAGCAGAGTCAATATGGCAGCTTCATGATGCTGCATATTAAAAGCTGATCACATCATCTCGTAAATGAGCCTTTCACTGCACAGTAGCAATTCGTTTGTGATTTTTCAATTTGCTCTAATTTATTTCTGGGCCCTAGGGTTTTGTATAGGAAAAAGGACGACAGTTGAACAAGAGTCCATAGAAAATGCTATTTCTAATATAAATGTGTACTTTATTAATTACTTCACTATCTTCTAAAACCAACATTTGAATTAATTTCTGCATTTAAGAACTAAGTGGCATGTTATATGGGAAATTATAGGATTTTACATAAGGAAATCATTTAAGATGAGATGGCAGTTGAATAATATGTCATTAAATTGTGTGTGTATGACAACATTCAATCTGCCTGATTCATGTAAGGGAAAATTGGTATTTCAAAAGGGTAGGGAGAGACGTATAACTGAACTTTATTTTAATTACTGTATGTCAGTTTATATATAAACAAAATACCGTGTATGGAGAAGATGCCTCATTGACAGTATTTGGAAGCAAGGGGGAAAGCAGTATTGCGCCCAGTCGGAACTGTGTCTCTTGCTAACCTCCACTAGGAGGAGCAAGTAAGTGGGGATTTTAACTGGTTTGTGACAAGGTAAGCGTATCTAAAAGGTGACACTGCTCCCCAATTCTCTTTCTGAAATAGTAAAATATTTGCCTAGTGATCTATTAAGCTCTTCCCTTCGTTGTGCTGTTACACAGCACTCAGGAATTTTGTTCTCAAGCTCATGGAAAGTATTTCTGATTTTTTTTTTTTTTTAAACTGCTTGGGACTGATGCCACTTACCGGAGACTGAGCTGTCTTTCTAAAAATTATTTTTCCAGTCCACAGCTGCCAAACATGTGTGTCTAAAGTATGTAGCTTGAGAATGAACCTGAAACTCCCCAGTACTCTTTTTATGCTGCTTTAGCTCAGACACTTTCCTTACGTGAAAGAAAATAAGCCCCAAATGTAGAAGACTTATGACTATCTGACCACTTGCACCTGCTTTTGCATGCTTAGAAAATAAAAGCCTTCCCTCAAAAACCAATATTTTTTAGTTTCTCTGCAGTGTGCAGTGTGTTCTAAATGAACACTCAGCTATTTGGGAAGAATATCTCTGCATAAGCAAACATAAATGTCGCTACAAAGGGCACCCTAGATCTCAGGGAAATTAATTGTTTGATGCCAGTTTGGAGGGCAGCAGTGGGAATATTTAATTAATTATCATTCCATTGCATGTGCACACAGTTTAGGAAGAAAGTGAAAACCAGAACTTCACGAATGTGGAGTAGCAGCTAGAATTTGGATTAATTTTGTCACACTGAATTGTTTCACTTCTAAGACTGCAGTCATTAGATGCAAATACTTCAGCATCTACACTGCACTACTAATACGTGTTTAATTTTTAATTGAGGTAGTATTTTGTTGTGCACCTACTTTCATATGGCAATAGGCAAAGCGAGAATCTTTAATTATGTAAATGTTTGTGTAAACTGAAAACTGTTTTCAGGTGCTGTCTTTTCATGACACACTGAGAAAGTGTCCCAGAAAAAGCAGTTGTAATGGCTGAAACCCCTTTTTTTGGCTGCATGCTCACATTGTGCACATAAAAATGAGTTTTACAGTGAGGGACGAATCATAAGGAATTTAAAGAAAGTATTTTCTCACTTACATATTTCCTTGATTTTTCAAGGTGGGAGTTCCCTAGAAAATCTTCAATCTCTGCCCTTTAAAAAGGCATTGTTTGGGTAGGGGAAGGACCCATACCTATTTCTCAGCTTCATAAAACCATTGACTGAAAAAACCAAATAACTTTGTGTGTCATTTTCTTTGTAATTCAGGTGTAAAACACTTCAAAATATACAGTGGGTATTAAGCATTTGAAATACAGCAATAGCAATAATTCCTTTAAGAATTGAAATACTACATGCTAGGTGCATTGTTTAATGTAAGCAGCTGTCAATATATATTAAAACCACCATCAAATAATATCATAAAATTATTATTTTTCTCTCATTTTTTAATTAGGGTTAGAGCGTCACTGCTTTTGCTCAAATATTTAAAATTTTGTTTTACAGAAGGCTCCTGAACAGGCACCAACCATTGGCTGTAGGTAAAAAACCCAAAGTACAGCAAAAGGTCTCTATACAATTACCTTGTCCTCTGAAAGTGTGTTGTTGCATGTAGCTCTGCATTTTGACGATATGATTTATAATAGTTCTACTTCATTTTTGGCACTTGACTGCAGTCACTGATGCGTTATCAAATGCCAAATATATAAACTCTGAATGCCTCTTGAATTTTTATTTGTGGTCTGTGCTCTGCTGATGTTTCGGTTCCTTGTACTTTCAGTCCTGCTCTATAATTACAGCTTTGCAAATTGAAGCATTCGACTTCCTGTTCACATGTCCTGGATTTTCATATTTTGATTAGCTGTGTGGGCAAACTCTTTAATTAGAGGGAAGAGTTCAAAAGGCAGCATGAGTCGGTATTCTAATAAACAGCAGCAGTGGTTGCATATTAGGCCTCACATAATGTGCCTGAGTTCACTTACAAACTGCATTAATCTTTTGCACAAAACAGTAGTCGAGATGAGGTTTGTGCAGGTTTTTAAATGTCACATAGGAACGTCACACCGCTAGCGAGGCATGCTTCTCTAGGGGTATTGCCTCAGGGTAGAATTTTTTGTTTTCAAAGTTCCGGAAAGTGACTTTACCTTCAAAATGTCTTAAAAGTGATTTGAAACCAGTGACTGTTGTATGCTGCATCCTTAGGTATGTGAACTCTTTCCAGCTGCAGGTGTTTTATTGCACGTTTATATTGCCATTAAATGATTTACTATAGCTTATAGATTCTGCAGATAAGCACTTTCTGTGGTGTATTAAATTGCTATAGATTTAGGTCTTAAATTTGTATTGCAAATATTCATCTTGTTTGTTTGCTGCTCGTGATGAAGTATTTAAATTTCAACAATAAATAGAAATGAATGGCAATTAGATGGAATGTCATCTTACAATCAAAGTTAAACAGTCAGTGTTTTCATATTAAACAGAAATTGTAATGATGGCATGAGATAAGTTACGTGCTCACCATTTTGAGTGTATAGTGTTTGACGGTTTCCTTTTGGGATGTCGGGGAGCCTGATGTTACTTGTACAATGTGGTGCCTGATTGCACTGCTGATGATATAAATCCTGTACAATCTTTTGCACACTCCTGCTTTATGCTTGGCTGATACTAGCCTGCTGACATTTTGCTTGTGTTTCGGGGGGAAACAGCAAGTGTAAAAAGGTCTGAAGGTACTTCTAAGGTAATGTAATTTGACTGTGTGGTCTGTTTTGATGGTTCAGTGCTCTCAGTGTGTCACAGCATGGCAATTTTGCCAGTGCTTTAAGATTACTTCAGATAAGGATTAATTCTGACCTAGTTTGAGAGGATTTCTAACTGTTTTTTCTGTATTTGGAGGGGTTTGAGTTTTTAATTTCTCAGTTAAAAGCAATCATTACAGTAGCAACATTTATCCCTTTAATCCCTCCTCTCTAGCCACAGCAACCTTGTGCAGACCGAAAGCAATGCATTTAGTAAGTGTAAGGTAGTGACATTGTGCCGTGGGAGAGGAAAACCTGCTAGAATTCTTCCTCTCTGTTCAGAGACATGTTATCTCAGGGCTCTGCAAATTAGGACCCATCATTATCTGTAATGGCTGAAAAGGTAACAGACAATCGAATGAATATCACACACAAGGATTTGACATACCTTCCTTGGTCAGGCCATTTATGGTGCGAGGATTATACCCACAGAAAATAGTTTTGGCACGCCATAGGTTCAGCAAACACGATGCTATCGAACATGCGCACATCCCCCAACAGTCTGCTTCCTGCGATTGCTTTTCACGGTATCCAATCTGTCCATCTGTCTGCTCGTTGCTGTGTTACCTTCCTTGCTCATAAGTAGTGTCCTTGTCTTGGGGCTTTTTGTTCATCCTTCAAACAAAAGGGCAGTAGTTCTCGTTTCTGCTCTGATTGGGGCTGTCTGGCGTTCACGGCCGATGTATTGGAGCTTTTACATCTGGTGTTTCCCTTGTCGGACAATGCAGTGCTGTGTTCGCTTCTCCTCAGTATCCATATTTCTAATGGTTATGTTAGCAGGGAGTGCTAGCGTGTAGTGGTTCAGTTGCCTTCAGTAATAGGATTTCCCTCTACTCCTTCCTTCATTGTTGCTAGGCAGTAATAGAAATGGTTTTGAGCTGTTTTAACCGAGGATTCTGGTCTATAAAATCCATTCCGTAGTTCTTCAGCTGCTGCACAGGCAGGCAGCAGTTTAAATGTGGGCTTTGACAGATGCTGTCTTCTGACAGAGCAGAATTTAACGTCATTGCTTGGCTGAATCCCACGTGATTGTTTGCATTCATTTTGACTAAATCCAAAGGCAGCCAGAAAGCTTTACAGGCTCTTGCTCCTATTTGATAAATGATACATACTCAGTTCAAGCACAATGATAGGTGAATAGTATAAAAATTGTATGATTATTAAATGAATGATTGAGGGTTTTTTCAAATTGTTTTCACTTTTCCTTGACACTGTAACTTATGATTCTCTAGGGGAATTTTAATGCTAGATGTTCTATTCCCGTATTCCAAAAGCTGTTCTGCAGTGCAAAGGAATTATAAGCATTTAAATACCGAAGCTTGATTTAACCCGTTTGGCTTCCTTCGAGTATAAATCTTTCGTGCCTTCATGCCAAAGAAAAAATGTTTTTCTTTGCTCATGCTTCCTTTACACATACTTACTCTATAAAAGCTGCTTTTTGTAATCTCAGGTTAGTCAATTAAGCCAGACGACACTAATGTAGAAGCACATGCTGTTAAGCTGCCTTTCTGCTGTTAATGGCTTTCTTCCTCGGTAAAGGTCGGAGTCTGGTATTGCAGAATCGGGGGCACTTGATTTCATTTATTGATGGATCTAAAATGTCTTTTGTCTGTTACAGACTTAGTTATACTATAGAATTTGCTTTTCTAGTCCTAATGAAACTTGCGTTCCTTTCACTTCTGCCCTTTCAATGTCTGACCCTTCTATGCTGAAGCATCTTAACTATATTTTCTATATGTTATAAATAAAATACCACAATAGATAGCTCAGAAAACAGAAGGCTACCAGCATACTTACCCACGTATGTGTTAGTCACTGTGTTTGACCACTTGATTTTGAAAAGCTAATGACTAGCTCTTTAGACTGGTTTGGTTTGGGGTTTTTTTCTTAGCCAAAGGATAAAGAAAATATAATTGCTCTATCATATAGTATCTCTCATTAGCAGGATTGGGAGTAGGTATGTCCTTTACTGGTGAATAAGGCTTCCCCAGGCTGTCAGTGTGGTTTACTATTCTAGATGCATAGTCTGATAATTTACTAGAAACATAATCAGATTTATATCCTCCTAACTAAATCACCTATGTACACTAACTTTCTCTATTAATTTAGGCTTGTTTTTAATGTATGCATTTCCTATCCTAATGACAGTTTTCCATAAATCCTGTTGTCCTATTTGAGGACATTTTAGGAGCATGAGAATATTCCCTAAATATTAATTATAAATATAACATGTATATCAGTGAAGATTTGGATCTCCTCCACTCTAAAACAATTTTGTATTGAAAAAATGTATGGGGGTGGGTGGGGTGGTGGAGCGAGAGGAGAGACCTGTGTCCAGCACCACTTAACCGTTCCGGGACGGTTATGAATAATTGAGAATCAGTGCTTGGGAACATTGCATGTGTGCTCAGTCTACTGAATTTTCCACTTAAACACACAAACCTTTCTTGTCCTTACCCTATCTAATATACAGAACTTTATATAATCTCTTGCCGTATGTGTAGAAATATATGACACATTTTGGCTAGGAGTATTGTCAATTTGCTGCATTCTGGGCTACAAGTAAGAGATCAAGTGAGAGATTCATGTAGCTAATTTTCCAGCGTTGATTTCCATAGAAGTAAGTAAAGTTTTTTTGAATACCAGCATTGTAAGTCTGCCTCAGACTTTTGAATTTTCGGATGAGACACATAACATTGTATTCAGGAAGCAAGTCTAAATCTCAACAGAATGATTATTAAAATGCCTAGTGTTTCCACTTTATTTACTACTGGTTCATTATACCGCGAGTGTATCTCTGAAGGTTTGTGAGTTATATGTAGTGTTGTCTACATTGAGGGGGGCAGAGCTGTATTTATTTTTCTGTAAATGCTCATTAATAAATATTACAGGTACAGAAATCCCAAGGCCGTTTTTTTGAAATAGAATCTGTTTTAAAGTCATTCTAGAAGGGAACAGACACCAGCTTTGGCTTTTAATTATATGACTTTTAATTAATTATACGTTTATATGCATAGCTTGTAAAGTTCAGGCAGAGCTGTTGCCTGTTGATACGCGTAAAATTTGTCATCTTGCCATGTGAACAAGCTGAATACTGAATTCCTAAATATTACGGAACAATTTCTTTTGTTCACTCATTCTTTTCTTGTAAAGGATAAGCAGGTCTTTGCTTATCTTGCAGAAAAGTAAGGAAAAGCTTTGATTTTTCTACTACTTTTTATCCAGGTGTGACTACTGCAGCTGTAGAGAGTCAATGTTTCAGGAAGAAATTCCTTTTCTTTTATAACGCTTTCTTCTTTACTACTTTTATACAATACTGTATGTTTCTGGGTGTTTCAGGAGGGCAGAGCATGCTTTGTATTGGAAATATGACCTGAAGGTTTGAGTAATCTTGCTGGGCTGCAGATTGGAATGAGCTTTATTTCGGCTAAATCTCACCGTGAAGGGTCAGTGGACTGCTTGTTCCTGATCCAAGGAGTAGTATGTTCTGTAAAGTTACTATGGTTACATCTTAAATTAGAAGCCGTAATGTTAGTGTCTGAAATGCTGCCATCTATTAAGACTAAGAAGGAGTTACTCTGATGTGAAGACGTGCAGCGTGTGTGTAAGGAACAGTATAGAGTTCCCGTGGTCAGTGAAAGTTTTGACTCATTGAGTGAGTTCTGCAAAGCTAGAAGCAGATGCAAGGAGTTAGAAGAGATGTTTACTTAGAATAACCTGTACGCGTGACAACTGTGAACCATGCAAAATGTACTTACGCAAAGCAAGGGTGTGTAGATTGGGAATATTTTCTTGAAAAAACTTTAAAAACTTCCTACATGTTATTTTTAGAGGGTATCAGCTGAATCTTGTCTGACTGGTTTTAAAATAAATCAGACCCTGAGGTTGAGCCATTAAATAAAGTTCTGCCTTGGCAACATTAATAGAAGTTTCTCAAATCACTTTAGAGTGGTTGCGATAGTCAGGTGTGTACTGCTTGGTAATTTTATGCCTGGTGGCCACAAGTCCCATGGAATTTAAACTAAATACGTACATGATAGCTGACATGTCGACTGAATGTTCCCATATGGACCATGCTTTCTGGATACTCTGTGAATACTTTTCAAAGTTTATTCCATTTTATCATAGTAAAATCTAGTATTATTTCAGCTGTAATGTGTAGAAAACCTTTCAAGTGACTGTTCACAATGATTAATGGCAACGTGTTCAAGGTTGATTATTTTTGCTTTCAAACATTATTTTTTCCTTCTAGAAATGTGTTAATACAGAATGTCCTAAATGCTTACTTTTAATTTTGTGTCTTAAGAATTGTTACGTATATGGCCAGTGGCCATTCTTCTCTTTGCTTCAAAAAGAATACTTCTCCAATAAGTCATTTAGAGTGGAGAGGACAGGGTTGTATATTTGTAATTTGCTTGGCTGCGTTGTAATCCCAACACTTTTCTTAACAATCACAAGCATGTTTGTAACTGAATGAAAAATAGCAATCTAGAAATGACCACAAGTGTCAGTATTGCCTGCCTTATTTTCCTTAGCAGATTTTCACCATTGCTGTTAGTTGTGAAACCCAGCTTACGCTTGCTACACTTTTTTGGTAAATGGTCAAGATTTTACACTTCATTCTCATCACACCCAAGCCATTAACTTAGTGATTTCATTAATCTTTGAATGTCTTAAATTTAAAACAGAAATGCAGCAATATAGATCAATCCAAAATGGTGAGAGAACTAGAAATGTTTTCCAGTTATTCTGAAATGCGTGTGTGTTTGCTAATGAGTAGTTGATAATTGGTCTATCACTGAGTAAGGAATGTAAGCGCATCCCTTAACTTTGCAAAGTTGTGAGAGAAAGACCAAGTAATATTTTTCAGGTCAGGAGGGTGCTGCTTACTCTGCCTTAGGAACCATTTCAAGGGGATGTTTCATTATTCTAAAGCTTATAGTTTTTTAAGTAAACTGGCATTCTAGGTATCCAACTGGAATTCAATCTATTCTCCTATCACAGCCTCCTGTGAAGAACACAGGTTTGGAGTGCTTCAAAATTCACTTGAATAGCCAAAATACAAAATAGTTTCAGTATACTTGATTTCTGTTCTGGTTTTGTGTGTTACGCAGATCTTGCGTATTGGACTACTGTCGAGACATGTTTCTGTCCTCAATAATATGTTGTTTGCTTTATCACATCTTCTTTCTTTTCTGTATTCCAATTTTTGCAATGGTTTCCCCCAGGCTTTGCATCCAATTATTGCTGATCTCAAGTGCTAAATGCAGATTATTTTTTTTTCTGCGGAATGGACAACATAATTTCATTTGTATTGTGCAGTATTTTGGTTGCATGGTTCTCTCCTGATGAACTGACAATCCAGTGCTAGCAGTAATATCTTCTGCTTGTCACAAGTGTTCCTTTTGCATTCTGAGAAGAGCAGGGACTTTATGAAGCTTTGATTCAGCACAGCAGGGGAGAGAAGGCCAACTAGCAGAAGTACCAAATGTTCACAGGCAGTTTAAAGAACCAATGTGGAAAATACACTTCTGTTTTTCCCCCTTACCTTCTGACTTCTTTCATTCCAGTTGCCTGTATATACGATCGAGTTACCCCTAACACCCAGCCTCACAC